CCTCCCACGACTAATAAAAATTAACAAACTGAAGTTAATGGTTAAAAAATGTACTGACATTAAATAAACAAATATTATCATCATGAAGTCAATAGTTAAAAGTTAACATTTTCCTCTACTGAAAATGTATTTCTGATAATACTTACCTACTCTCACACTTTACCTTTATCCCGATGAAAGTTTCTCTTCTCTGCCCATCTAAAAATTGGTATGAATCTTACTTCACTTGCTCCAGCCCCACTATATTGCCAATAGCAATTTAAATCTTGTGATTCTCTCCACTTATGTCAATGCATCCCCAATACCAGATCTGTATATAACCTAATTATTACTTAATATTCAATTTTCAAGATGGTCCAAATTAGTAGACCTGAAACGAGCCATATCATGATGAGGAAGGGCAGGAGAGTGTGAAAGGAGGTAAGTATTATCAGAAATACATTTTTGGTATAGGAAAATGTTAACTTCTGAAATACACTTACCATCCCACATTGACAAAGTGGAGGGACTGGTGAGGGCAAAATCCACACAGAAAGCATCTGTTGAGAAATGAGGTGTGCAAAAATTAGATATAGTAATAGCATACTAGTGGGGTCTGCACTAATTCTGGAACAGATATGCTCTTCACCCAGACAACATGAAATCTAATTCCCAGGCAGTAAGGGTCGACTGGCCACAGAGACAAAATCCAAATCAGGCAGATGAGGTCCCACATTTCGTCATTGAAATTATAAGGCTGTGGACCCAAACTGAGATCCAAGGCATAGTAGCTAGAGCCTGAGGACTGCTTTGTATTTGGTCTTATTTAGTACTGTGGTATTATTGCAACCAAACCTATAAGTTACAGAATGTTGCATGTCGAGCCACAGAATTACAAAGAGAATGTAAGCAACACTAAAGTGGACAAGCCCTCGCTCCAACCTGAAGAAGTGCCAAATGCAACACACCAAACTCAGAATTACAGGGCCTGCCACTCCTTACTCAACTTGAAGAAACAGAGATTTCTCAGCATGGCCAAATTATGAGGAGGATGTGGAACAAACTAAGTTCATCTAATGGCACAGGTATTAATGCTCCATGTGTGGAATTACAAAGAGTCAAAGGCCCTTTTCCATGATCATCAAAATGAAGAGAATGACCAAAAAGATGGGTCACACTCAACCAGATAGTGAAAAGTCATCTCTGAAACAGAATTACAAGGAGGCTCCAATGTAGGCTATTCCTGCTCCTACCATACATCACAGAAAACTATCCAGGGTTATTGGTAGGAGAGCATTCAGCTTCTCCCTCTTCTCCTTGAGTGGAATAATGATTTCAAGCATCACTCAGGAAGAATCAACCCCTGTCCACCACTCCAGTGACTGGAAACTGGGAGTGGTAAGGAATCTCATGCTCCACTAGGAGAAATGGGAGGGATACTCCCATTGAGAAGTCCTGAGGAACAATGCTGCGGAGATATTGCAATAGGTGAACCCTGTTTCTTATATTGAAAAGCAAACTAACCTCAATTTTTCCAATTTAAGTGTCAGCAGGGATGGTTAAAATCCCCTTAAGCTTTACTTATAGTCCATGAGTGGCAGTCCAGTAATGTATTGGTCTGTGTGTTATAATTACTTACCAACCAGAAAGTGCACAAGGTTGTTTTATGGAACACCCCATCTCAACAGAGCTCATGCAGATTTGGAAATAAGCATACCTGACCAAGCAACACCTGCCACAGAGTGGGATGCAAATGAAAATAATTAGAGGGTTGTGAAAAAGAAGAGAAACACAAAAGAAATGAAGTCAAACACCTCTCTTACAAACTAGACGTAGCATGGAGAATATCCACAGGGGTAGCTGTAAACCTTTTGAGGAGGCAACTGTCAAATCATGTAAATAATGAGATATAAAGTAGTAGTCGTGGTCCACATACTAGCCTATACAATCTCCTCCAGTGAGCAATGCAACCAAGCTGCCAGAAACATCAAGATATGGCGAATTTGATGAGATGAGACCCAAAGAAGTCTCTATTCCTCCAATGAAAGCCCAGAGTAAGCAATATGCATCAACTGATGAACCCAACCTGTAAAAGTGACAATGGATAAGACACATGATACCTTAGGATCCCAATGGATAAACAAACAGTGATGTGAACCCCAAAACCTGTGATTGCATACAAAATAACATCAAAGAGCCTGAACCAGGAATAATAGATGATCTGGATCCAAGCATTCATAAAAATCAGAAATGGAGGAAAGATGAATAGAAGTGAAAGCCTTATCCCCTTCTCTAGCTGCTGAAGTTTGGGAAAAAAGGACCTAGTGGGATACAATAGAACAGAAGTGGAATGGTAAAAAGTCCTGCGAACATGAATCGCAAACATCTCCAAATGTTGACATCCGCTAGCCAACAAGAGAAGAAATTAAGTCTTAAGTGAAAGGAGATAAGGGAAATATGACACCAAAGGTTCAAAGAGTTCACGAGATAAAGCATTGAGAACCCCCGACATATCTCAATTAAGAACCTGGAAAGGACATCAAGAATGGATAACCCAAAAATATTTCAGAAGCAAGTACAAACCCAAAGATTTAAAAACTTTACATCTTCCATAAAAATGAAAAGTAGCTGACAAAGCTGCCTTATACATAGAAATGGACGAAGGACCCAAACCTTTGTAGAATAAATAACTATGTCAGAAATCGAGAAACATGTAGCACAGTGGGACAAGAAGGATTAAAACCATGTCTCAGAGACCACTGGCAATAAATAAATCATTTCTGGTGATAAACATCCAATGAAAAATGGCAAATGGACTGCATTAATAAAAATGCCACCAAAGAGGTAAATCCCTCATGTTGTGCAATAGACCACATAAAGCTAGGCTTGAAACTAGTGAACAGTGATCACCAGATGAAGAATGTCAAACCGAGAGTGATGTAAGTGACATGGCCAGAGAGGAATTGGAAGAGATTGGCCCTCCCAATGATACTGAAGAAATGGAAAATAAGGCTGATC